TCTATATCATAAAAGGTGTACAAAACCCGTACATCTTTTTGGTCCTTCGTATAAGGGCCTCGCGAGTGACTCAGTGCATACGTGATTTCGGAAAACGTGACTGTGTCGCAAGTGAGGTGGATTTACACTGTAGTTATCGAAGAGTTTTAACAACTACAACTTGGACTTCTGGGATCGTGAGTAATCAGGGTCACGGTCATCAGGCGACATCCTATCCAAGTAAGGCGTATCTTTATATCTTATTTATCAACTTATATTATCAACTGAGAAGATGTCTACCATGGAAGATTTCTTACAAACTCAAGAGCAGCTCGCAGGTGCTATTGAACAAGTTTTTACTAACTTTAAGAAAGATGGTTCGGATAGAAAAACAGCTACGTACATAAAACAAAGACTTGATACTTTAGATAATTATTGGGTTGAATATCAATCGAATCATGTTAAATTATGTGGGTTTGGTGAAAAGTCTCATCATTATTTTACTTCGAAAAGGTATGAAATAGTGAAGGATAGATTTTTGAGTATCAGGGCAACTATACAGAATTATCAACAGTCGCGTGATGAAAGTTCAAGGCCTAGCACGCCTCTTCTCAAACCAGCTACTCCGCTTAACATGCCTACCTCTTATCAAGCTATGGAGACAGCTGCTACATCTCATTCGCAAGGTATAAATAGTAGAACGGATGAAATGTTACGAAAACAAACTAGCCATTTCAAGGCCTTCGAACATACAATTTCTAATATAAATCTCTGCAACGTGTCCGAAAAATGGGAGTTCGATCATCTGCTACGTGTCATTCAAGCTCGTTGGTCGGCTATTGACGCTTTACACTGGGAGCTGGACAGTGAGTTAAATGGCAGGGAACCTGAATACGAGGCTACTTATTTTAATTTCGAAAGAAAGTATAATGAAGTTATTAAGTCAATCAACCGGAAATTATGGTCAGTATTACACCGCGAACAATCCACACCCCACTTAGAAATACCTACATTTAACGGAAGTTACCATCAATGGACTTCCTTTAAAGACCTTTTCATGGAGACCATACACAACAATCCAACACTATCAAGCGCTCAGCGTATGCAATTTTTGAAGACAAAGGTCAAAGGTGAGGCCGAACGTCTTATTCAGCATCTTACAATATCATCAGACAATTATCCAATTTGCTGGGATATTTTGACCCACAGATATGATAACAGAAAATTAATTTTGAATTCACACCTCGATATCTTATTCGCTATACCAGTCATGCAACAAGCATCAGTCGATCATTTGAAAAGGATCCATGATACTACACGTGAAACTTTAAATGCCATCAAAAGCTTAGGAATAACTGTCGATTCGTGGGATCCACTGCTAGTTTACATTTTGTGCCAAAAATTAGATAGCGAGACCCACGGAGAATATATTGCTTCTGTTAAGCAGCCCAGAGAGGTACCAACCATATCTGAGTTTTTATCATTCTTAGAAAATAAGTTTACTACTTTGGAGAGCTCTAGGCGTAAACAAGAAAATCAGAATAAATCAATCACACGCAATCCAAGTTATAACATTCCATCATTTTCGCATACAAAATATCATAAGCAGTCGAATAATAATTCATATATTAAGCAATCATTTCCGCCACAAGGCCGGAATGTGTCGCAATCACATTACAACAATAAAAACGTCTATGCTACAAAATATTACAAATGTCCAATTTGCAAAAGTGATGACCATGGAGTGTTCTATTGCAAGCAATTTCTTGATATGTCTGCACTATCAAAACGGAAAACTATAACAAAATACAATATTTGTCAAAATTGCTTGTATTGTCATTACGGAAAAGCCTGTATATCAGATAAAAAATGTCGTGAATGTAACCAATTTCACAATACTTTACTACATGAGGCATTTAGGCAAACGTCATTCGACCACTCCGGAACATCAACCTCTAGGAAGCAGACAAATGAAGCCGCAATCTCGGCTTCTGAAGCTTCGCGTAATTTTCGCAGCAACTCTCACGTTTCTCTACAGCAAGAAGTTCCAGAAATACTATTAGCAACAGCTAATATAAAAGTTAAAACATTCAGCGGATCATATATCAACTTACGGGCATTGTTAGATCAGGGATCGCAAGCATCGCTAATAACAGAAAATGCGGCGCAACAGCTAGGGTTGCCGCGTTCCAAATGCCAAGGAGTCATTTCGGGAATTGGTACTAATGAAAATAATTGTAAAGGAATGTTACATATTGAAATTTCGTCCACAATCAATGAATTTGAATTTGAAACAAATGTATTAATCATAAACAATCTCATAAAAAATTTACCCAGCCAATCATTCAGCAAGCCATCATGGTCTTATTTAAATAATATAAAATTAGCGGATCCCGATTTTAACACTAGTCGCCCGGTAGATTTATTACTAGGAGCCGATATTTACTCATTAATATTATTAGAAGGAATTTGTAGAGCAAGCCAAGATTCGCCTATTGCACAAAACACTCGCTTAGGATGGATATTAAGCGGCAACGTGAGAACCCTACAATGTAACGTAATATTAAACGATTTAGTAGATATACAAAAGTTTTGGCAAATTGAAGATATTACACTAGAAAAAGAATTATCAACGGAAGATCAACAATGTATAGATTATTATCAGAGCACGACTAGTAGGAGAGAAGATGGTAGATACGAAGTGAGGATACCTTTTAAACCGAATTTTCAACAAAGTTTGGGTGATTCTAAACCCAAAGCTATAGCACAATTTAAATCATTAGAAAGGAAATTCAAGAAAAATCAAGGCATGGAAAAACATTATAAGTCATTTATGCAAGAATATATATGACTAGGTCATATGATACCTGTTACCGATAATTTGTCTACCGGTTGTTACTTAACGCATCACGGCATAGAGCGCACGGAATCAGAAACCACTAAGTTTAGAGTTGTTTTTAATTCATCGTGCCCTACATCGTCAGGTTGTTCTTTAAATGACGTCATGTCTAGCGGACCCAACTTGCAACAGGATCTGCAAGCCCTCATTATCAAGTGGAGGCAGTATCAGTTTGTATTCACAGCAGACTGTGAAAAAATGTTTCGACAAATCAGGGTCAACAACAAAGATCAAAATTATCAAAAAATCATATGGCGTGGTTCACCAAACCAACCGCTCACAGAATATCAGTTAGCTACGGTAACTTACGGTACCAAAGCCGCTCCATTCCTGGCTATGATGACCCTCAAAAGGTTGGCCGCAGATGAAAGAGCAAAATATGTCACTAACAGCATTTATCAAGATCAAGCTCCAGATGTCCTTGAACAATCGTTTTATATGGACGACCTTGTTCTTGGTGCTCATAGTATCAGCTCAGCTACGAAATTATGCTACGACCTGATTAATTTATTAAAATCAGGAGGATTCAATCTCAGAAAATGGAGGTCGAATGTTGCCGAAATAATGGAGTTCAATAACGACTCAAATAGTCAAAATATCGTTAAAAAGGTTGAGTACTCAAATATTCTCGGACTCAATTGGAACCCTAGTTTAGATACATTTTCATTTGATGCAAAAAGTTATCATACATCATCTAAGCCTGATACCAAGAGATCATTGCTTTCCGATATATCAAAGCTGTTTGACCCATTAGGTTGGTTAACACCCGTATCAACTAAGTTAAAAATAATATTTCAAAATGTTTGGTTTGCTGATATAAAATGGGATGACAATTTACCGGAAGAAATTCAAACAGAATGGATAATTATCAAAGAGGACATAATTAAAAACATAAATAATCTAAAAATAGAACGATGGATAGGTACAAAGCAAGGTGATGGTATCGAGTTGCATGGCTTTTGTGACGCTTCGCTGAAGGCATACGCGTGCGTTATATATTGCAAAGTTAAAAGATCGGAATGTACAAACATATTAGTAACTACGATATCAAAGTTTATGGCTGGTCAGAGTCTATGATTGTTTTGGGTCTCGGCAGCGTCATAACTATGGCAGTGGTTATCTTTCGACGCCGCTGGCGCCGCCGGCCAGGGCGGGCGAGGGAAGAGCCCCAGCCCCATGGAGCACAGGCTAGCACCCCCGCTGGCCTCCCTCAAGAAACTGTTGAGTGTGTTAGTGATAGTGTGGTTCAGTGCGCGAATCAGTGTCGTAATGTAAATATTGAAATGAGCAATTTAAAAGTGAATGAAAGTTTAGATAAAAGAGTGAGTGTTAAACCGAGTTTATCCGCTCCGCGCGTTGTTGGCTGTGCCTCGTCACCTATTTTTCATAGAGAATTTAGTTCACTGTAATTAATTCTAGAGAACATTGTTTTATCAATTTGTTATTATTTTTAAGAAAATATTGTTTTATCACCTTATAATCGCGTCACTCACTTACATCAAACCATTATCATCTCTCTCCCTATCTTTGGCCCGGGAGCATGTACGAGCAAGCGCGTACATTTTGCCCCGTCGGCATTTTACGCCACATGCATTTATTTAGGTTAATTATGAATCAGTTCGTCATCGGTCATTATTCGTACCACGCGTTCTCACAGTCATATCATTTTAGTTTCGTAATTATCAGTTTGTTATCAGTAATATATCATTTAAACATATCAAGACTTTCTCTTCTCTCTCTATATCATAAAAGGTGTACAAAACCCGTACAATTCTCATCATTTTTCCATAACGCGCTAGCAGCCAACTTCATGGTGTTACTTATGTGTTACAATGATGCGCGCGCATCTTAAAATTTTATTCTCACCATTTTTTCATAACGCGCTAGCAGCCAACTTCATGGTGTTACTTATGTGTTACAATGATGCGCGCGCATCTTAAAATTTTATTCTCATCATTTTTTCATAACGCGCTAGCAGCCAACTTCATGGTGTTACTTATGTGTTACAAAGATGTGAGCGCATCTTAAAATTTCATTCTCATCATTTTTTCATAACGCACCTTAAGAAGTATAACTTCAAAAAAACATTTCCTAACTCTGAATTAATTAATTCATTAAATCTTTAGTAACTTAATATGAATGTATATTGAGTATTATACGTACTTTTCTTCGAGCCATTCTTGGACATGTTGTCTTGCGCCTTTTTTTTCTTTCCCGTTGAACTCGATTTCTTCGAACGCGAAGAATCCTGAAATTACCACAAGCTTAGTACTAAACCATTATTACATCTCTGTCATTAAAGTTGGAAATGTGGATTTCAAAATTCTAGTGTTAGAGGACCTTTTACGTCATAGAAACTGGACTAAATAGCAATAAATAATACTCTTTGGAAATGTCTTGTGCTGTGGCTCTAAATATAAGCGACGAGATAGCAATTTAGAACAAGCCGCCTTAGATTCAAATGGTTATATCTATCTCCATCCATCCATTATTTATGTACTAGCAAACCAGTGAACCAAATGTTCACAAAAAAAAATGTATTTAATAAATTGAGGACTTCGGAGATTTTGTGTGGTTTCGTTTGAAATAGAAATCACGTGATTTCTCGAAAACCGGAAGTGCTAAGTTACTCACATCCGGTTTGTAGTCTTATCAGACTATTCTTAACTTATAACTTAAACATTCTCTATATCTATCTCTTACGGTTTGGCCGCTGAAACAGCACCACGGACGGACGGACGGACTTGTCTAATAGATAAGAGATTAATTCAGGTTCTCACACCAGGGGGCCATTCGCCTAACGGGATGGTTTGAAAAATGCTATCGCTTAGGATTTCATTGTGTTATTTCTGACCGCCGAAGGTTTTCAAATACCTCACGCTCATCTCTTATCTAATAGACAAGTCCGTCTGTCTGTGGTGCTGTTTCAGCGGCCAAACCGTAAGAGATAGATAAAGAGAATATTTAAGTTATAAGTTAAGAATAGTCTGATTAGACTACAAACCGGATTTGAGTAACGTAGCACATCCGGTTTTCGAGAAATCAAGAATTTCAAAAGAAACCACACAAAATCTCCGAAGTTCTCAATTAATTAAATACATTTTTTTTTAATCCGGTTTTGGTGAACATTTGGTTCACTGGTTTGCTAGTTTTCGTTAAAATATTGTTATTACCAATGCAAAAGAAAAAAAAGCGCGAGGCATTTGAAAACCTCAGGTGGCTAGATATAACAAAATGAAATCGTAAGCGATAGCGTTTTCCAAAGCAATCCCGTTAGGCGAATGGCCCCCTGGCGAGGAGCTCCATGGCGCCAGTAGTTAGCGCGTTCGGCTGCGATCGTTGAAGTTAAGCAATCGATCGATCTCCTCAACGAATGGAAAGGAAAAGGGCGAATGCACTGACCACTAAAATTATAAAAAATGATTACGTCTAATTGAACGTTTGTGAATACTTACGGTATTGTTACTTTCTACGTAGGCAGACATGCGCGCCGCGTGCTCTGACACCACCTGGTCCAACTTATTGCACGTTTCCAGCATATCCTAGTAACGTTTTAATTAAAAAATGGGTGCGTGTACTTATGTAGGCGCGTGAGAAGTTATCCTTCTTTGGCATCGTTTAAAATTAGTTTTTAATTGCATGCAAAGAATTAATTACAATAAATTAATAAAAAGTCTGGAAAAGGACACAGTCAATAAAGTTCAGTTTTAATTTGAAAAAATAAATAAATAATCAAAATATTCAATTAAAATCGCTACTGAATATAATTTATTAGAACATATGTGATTTGCACTTGTATGAAACTCAAACACGTATTCCGAATATACAAACTAGAAACATGTGGATAAATATTATAAATATGAATACCTATAACTGTTACTTTATTACAAAAAATAAAGATGTGGTTTTTGGTTCTACTACACCAATGGTCAAGAGATGGCGCTGTAGTCTCCTGAATCGCGCTTTGGTTCCGTTGTTCCAGATTAATAAATACTTTTGATAGGCCTTCACAATGCAGTCGTTAGCACCCACTAAATAGAGATTCTATTTCTATTTTGTTGGTAGATTTTCTTAATGTGCGGTAAACACAAAAGTAACGCATGCGACCAACTTCATGCTGTTAAAATTTTGTGTTACAGTGATGCGCGCGCAACTTAAAATTTCACTCTCATCATTTTTTCATAACGCGCCTAAAGAAGTATAACTTCAAAAATATAGAAGACAATTCTTATTCTTCTTATATTCTTGATGACCTCCGTGGCCGAGTGGTTTGTACGCCGGGTTTCATGGTGTTGCCAACTCGAGAGGTCCCGGGTTCAAATCCCGGTGGGGGCAGATGTTTGTGTGATGAATACGAGCATTTGTACTCCAGTCATGGACGTTTAAATATGTATTTCTATATAAATATACTTATATATGTAAAGTATGTATATTCTATCCGTTACCCTAGTATCCCATAACACAAGCCTTATAGTGCTTACTTTGGGGCTAGGCTAATTGGTGTGAGTGTTGGAAATATAAAAAAAAATGTTTTAATTAAAAATTATAGAAGACAATAGGGGTGATGACGGGGTACAGTAAACGAAATTCTATTTAGTCCGTCAGTTAGATGATCAAAAAATAATGGACACGTATTTTTTCTTTGGGCAATCAACCAAAAAATGACTAAGTTATAGCCCGTCAAAGTTTGGGAGTAGGGGCTCGTGACGTCACTTTTTAGTGAATTTTCACTTAAAAGTGTACTCAAACGTAACGTCATGCGACTTTTCAAATCAATATATCTCTGCAATGTTTTTAGTATGTGAAAAAAGAAAAAATACGTGTCCAATACTTTTTGATAATCTACCTGATAAACGAAGAAAAAAAAATAGTCATCGTCCCTATTCTTATTCTTTAAACAGGCGATACAAATATTGATGATTGAGAAACTATGCATTTAATATATTTATCTACACTCATGCTTTAAAACCTATGTTAAAGATTCTGAAACAGTTAGCTCATTGCCAACATTAAAAGACCCAATATTATAATTAAAAAAAATACCGAATTTCATAATAATACTCTTTCGCTTTTGAAATCCCTTCCAAAGGATTACTCATCAGACAGTCATAAAAGACAATGGGCAAAACACACTCAGCTCCGCCAACAATGTAATTAGTACGAATCGATAGAGATGACGGCAGTTATGATGTTTTGGAACCTTTAGGATAACTAGGGGAGAGACGTAGTACAGGGCTCCATTTTGGGACCTACACTCTATTCTCTATACTCTGCCAGTATCATAGAGGTAATTGCTCACTGGTGTTACCACCTCTATGCAGACAACACACAGATCTATGTTCAAACCAGTCCGACGGACATGTTGCCTGCCGTGTCTTATTTAAATAAGGATCTATGTGATATAGTAGAGTGGTCTCGGAAGCATTCCTTAGTTCTCAATCCTTTGAAGAGCACGTCAATCACATTTACAGTTTGTCTATAAAGTCGTGACATGAATGTTTGAGGAACTAACATTATTCATGTGTCTGGTAACACCAAACTTATGTACATCAGCTGTCATCGAGTTTCAGTTGTGGAACAGTTTTCCTTTTGTATTTTTTATTGTTTGGATTAAACTGTAATAAATTAAGACGAAACTACGCAGAAACGTATAAAAATGAGTAAAGTAAATCGGAGTGGCACGCGGGAAGTGATTTTTAAAGTTTTCCAGCGATGTTTCGAAGACTAACAAGCTGGACGAATTTTGTGGGATTTGAATGATGTTTATGGGCGAACAGTATTTATGACGGGTATGTAATCGTGTAACTATTCGTTTGTAATCTGCCTGCAGTTACAAATTTACTCAATTTACGATTTTGAGACCAAAAAAGGCATTGTTTACATTGCACATTTTTAGGTAAGATTGACATTGTAAATAGGTAATAATTGTATTACGACCATTTCTTTTGATACGTTATTATGGTTCAACTCGGTCAGGTTTTCTACCAATTTTGAATTAATTGCTTCATGTCAATAAGTTATAGTTTCTATTCCGTTACATATTTTTTTTACTTTTTTTTTCAGGAAAATCAGAGAGTCAGATAGTCAACGAAGGTTTTAAGAATGATGGAAAGTTTGAAACTCCTGGGAAAAAACAGGCAAAGCCGACTAAAGAAAGAAATGGTCACATAAAGAACCATGGCCAGATGCTTTTAGTGAAGATACCTATCACTAATTTTACTAACTGCACATTTACAAATTGTTTCTCTAAATAAACTTTTGTGTACTATAAAATGATTTTTAGTATTATTTTCTTAACAAATGTGTTAAAAAACGTCGTATGATGATACTTGTGTGTATTGATGTATGATTACCTAACGGCTCTGGTCTCAATGGCACCTCAGCGGTAATCACCACCATTACTCACTTTTACACTATAAAGTACTATTTCATCTATAATAATTTTATTCTGATTCAATTAAATATGCTTGGCTAAACTTTTTATAAGCATAGGTACCTACTATATATAAAACAGAAACAAAATACGACTGTATAGTGTATCTTATTAATTACCTATTTTACTTGAATGAACTGCTAGTATCAAAATCATTTTGGTCCGACTGTATAGGGTTGCTACATGCATACTAGTGGCGCCATCTTTTAATGTCACGACTTTATAGACAAACTGTACATAGTACTGGACAACAAGTAACATCAATAAAGCAAAGTGATGTGAGTATTTGTATAAATGATATGCCAATACCACGAGAGGATTTTGTACGCAATCTTGGTCTCTATATGGACGAACATCTCAGATTTGAAAATAATGTTAAACGAAAAGTTGTCTTGTGCTTTAGATTGTTGGAGACTTTAAATAAGCTACGTAGTTTTTTATATACCTAATACTGTTAAACAACAATTATGTTATAGGTTAATACTAGCTGACCCAGCGAACTTCGTACCGCCCTAAAAAGATAGGGGTTGTCCAGCGGACAAAATTGTGAATCTAAACCATTCTCAGATCCCCTTGAACACACACAAAAAATTTCATCAAAATCGGTCCAGTCGTTTAAGAGAAGTTCAGTGACATACACACTCGCAGAAGAATTATATATATAAAGATTGTCACACTTGCATTATTGTATGTAGCCCTTGCCTTTATAAAGAGACCGAAAAGCTCATTGCATCAACGATTTGACGATGAGGATATAGATACTTTTCGTTAGTTGTTCGGGTTTGGGGTACAGTACTATAATTTCCGTAGCGTTACAGCCTCTTTGCTTGTTGACTGCCTACGGCTGGCATTCATATTTAAAACTATAAACTATATTTGAAAGTACCTTTTGTCTCGATTCGATGGATGACAGATTGAAAACGGGCTTAGAGAAAAACAGATTGTTATAATTGTATTGTGATAATTCTATGAAAATAACATAAAAATAATCAATATTTTCTTTTTCTTCGTTAGAGTTTCGTCTACCAAGATCCCTTCTGGAATCGATCTAATGGATTGATGACCTCCGTGGCCGCGTGGTTTGTGTTTGTACGCCAGGTTTCATGGTGTCGCTGACTCCAAAGGTCCCGGGTTCGAATCCCGGTCGGGGCAGATGGTTGTGTGATGAATATGAGCATTTGTACTCCAGTCATGGATGTTTAATATATATTTCTATATAAATACACTTATATGTGTACTGTATATGTATTCTATCCGTTACCCTGGTATAACATAACACGAACCTTACAGTGCTTACTTTGGGGCTAGGCTAATTGGTGTGTGTTGAATTTATTTATTTATTTATTATTATTATTTTAATCTTGTAGTACAAAAAACTTAAAGTAGTTTCAGACCGCTTTTGAATATTTTAGTAGATACTTGTTGAATTTAGATTTTAACTATTCAAATTCGATATTGGTTCGCGCTAAGGGTACAGGTACACTCGCGGAAAGACCCGCTCTGTCACCCATAATGCCATAATCGCTTGCGCTAGCGGCGTACTAAAAATTCAATCATAGACATGTAATTATCGCTGTCTTACTTTTTCGTATAGCGCTGTCGCGATCACGATGCGGACATGATGACAAATTGCAACTAAAACAAATGCAATTCAATTCATTATTCAATCAATGAAATGTTCTCTGTCTTACTTTTGTGCGGCGGCCCGGATTGGCGCGTCCGACGCGAAGGCGGGGGGGCGCAGTAAAAACTACTGTAGAAAACCTTTCAAAGCATTTTGTTCGCCAAGTGACAAAGCGCAAAATTCCGCGATAGTACAAATGGAAGTATACCTACGTCCGTATAGAGGCGGCGGGCGGCGGCCAGCGCGGGCGGCGCGGTGAGCTCGCGGCAGGCGGCGGTGGCGGCCGCGGTGGCGCGCGTCACCGCTTGTAGTAACGCGGCGCTTGCGTCTAAGTGTACCTACGTCCGTATAGAGGCGGCGGGCGGCGGCCAGCGCGGGCGGCGCGGTGAGCTCGCGGCAGGCGGCGGTGGCGGCCGCGGTGGCGCGCGTCACCGCTTGTAGTAACGCGGCGCTTGCGTCTAAGTGTACCTACGTCCGTATAGAGGCGGCGGGCGGCGGCCAGCGCGGGCGGCGCGGTGAGCTCGCGGCAGGCGGCGGTGGCGGCCGCGGTGGCGCGCGTCACCGCTTGTAGTAACGCGGCGCTTGCGTCTAAGTGTACCTACGTCCGTATAGAGGCGGCGGGCGGCGGCCAGCGCGGGCGGCGCGGTGAGCTCGCGGCAGGCGGCGGTGGCGGCCGCGGTGGCGCGCGTCACCGCTTGTAGTAACGCGGCGCTTGCGTCTAAGTGTACCTACGTCCGTATAGAGGCGGCGGGCGGCGGCCAGCGCGGGCGGCGCGGTGAGCTCGCGGCAGGCGGCGGTGGCGGCCGCGGTGGCGCGCGTCACCGCTTGTAGTAACGCGGCGCTTGCGTCTAAGTGTACCTACGTCCGTATAGAGGCGGCGGGCGGCGGCCAGCGCGGGCGGCGCGGTGAGCTCGCGGCAGGCGGCGGTGGCGGCCGCGGTGGCGCGCGTCACCGCTTGTAGTAACGCGGCGCTTGCGTCTAAGTGTACCTACGTCCGTATAGAGGCGGCGGGCGGCGGCCAGCGCGGGCGGCGCGGTGAGCTCGCGGCAGGCGGCGGTGGCGGCCGCGGTGGCGCGCGTCACCGCTTGTAGTAACGCGGCGCTTGCGTCTAAGTGTACCTACGTCCGTATAGAGGCGGCGGGCGGCGGCCAGCGCGGGCGGCGCGGTGAGCTCGCGGCAGGCGGCGGTGGCGGCCGCGGTGGCGCGCGTCACCGCTTGTAGTAACGCGGCGCTTGCGTCTAAGTGTACCTACGTCCGTATAGAGGCGGCGGGCGGCGGCCAGCGCGGGCGGCGCGGTGAGCTCGCGGCAGGCGGCGGTGGCGGCCGCGGTGGCGCGCGTCACCGCTTGTAGTAACGCGGCGCTTGCGTCTAAGTGTACCTACGTCCGTATAGAGGCGGCGGGCGGCGGCCAGCGCGGGCGGCGCGGTGAGCTCGCGGCAGGCGGCGGTGGCGGCCGCGGTGGCGCGCGTCACCGCTTGTAGTAACGCGGCGCTTGCGTCTAAGTGTACCTACGTCCGTATAGAGGCGGCGGGCGGCGGCCAGCGCGGGCGGCGCGGTGAGCTCGCGGCAGGCGGCGGTGGCGGCCGCGGTGGCGCGCGTCACCGCTTGTAGTAACGCGGCGCTTGCGTCTAAGTGTACCTACGTCCGTATAGAGGCGGCGGGCGGCGGCCAGCGCGGGCGGCGCGGTGAGCTCGCGGCAGGCGGCGGTGGCGGCCGCGGTGGCGCGCGTCACCGCTTGTAGTAACGCGGCGCTTGCGCCCGCGCAACCTGTTTGCTGAATGGAGCGGGATACCACCTAGACGAATACGAAACTCACTCAGAGGTGGCATTTGTAGGAACACAAAACACAGAAAAAGATAAGAAGGGTGAAGGGGGGGGAAAGTAAATAATTTGACCTTCAGATGATTACATAGCATAATCATAGTTATAATCAAAATCATTGATTCAGTTTAGGCACTCATGAATGTCTAGAAGCTACGCCATTGGTTCGTTAATTTACGGCGCGGAGACCTTGTACTGAGAAGAACCGGCAAGAAACTCAGCAAGGGCTGTTTTTTTCTCCCTGTTTTATTATTTACAGAGTCGTCAAATTGAAAAATGACTTCAGAGATGAGTCATGAAGTCATACACAAAGTTGACGTCACACGGTAGACGTTTTCGAACCGAGCGTTATGGCGGTAAATTCAATTCAAAACCATAAAAAATAAATTCAACTTTAATTGGTCTAATGGAGAAAAAAAGATATTAATTCATTTATTTTTATTTTTCTATTTAATCGTACAGTAGGTACCAATCTTTAAATATAAGAAATTTTCAAAATTTTGGAAAATACCCTAATACTCTTTTAGTAAATTATTAAAATTCAATGAAAATAACTATAATTACGTCACAACAATATCAAACTAAAAACTTATCATTAAAAATTAACCCTAAAATATTAATATACATATTCACAAGAAGAATATGTCATCCAAAATTCCAAATTGGGGCATGGTACCCAGAACACTGGCAGCATTACCTCGCTGAATGGCTAAACTGATTCTCTGCGCGAAATAGCTGCCAGCCCTCTGATCACCCGAAGAGAGAATCAGTCGATTCGACATATCCTTTATAAACCGCTTCATGTCAGCCGACCACGACTGACATTTAGGACGCTTGAGAAACTGAGCACGGTCGGCTGCGGCCCCAACTTTAGTACAAGTTTCATCAAAACAAAACAAAATACCTTTTGAAAATAAAATGTGTTAGATTTCTAGTTAAATTTTGTTAAGACATAGTTTCTTACCTGCAGCGATTGCAGCAGATTCTGATGCAATGAGACAATCCTGACCATCTGAGACTGGAAGTGCGTGTGGCGCGCGAACGGAAGCGTTACACCGTTGTTGCGTTTTATGTCGTGGATCTTGAGAATTCATAAAAATATTTACCATTAATAAGTATTACTTTTTTTTTACCCGACTGCGCAATGCAAGAGCGCGAAGCGCGACGCGCAGTCAGGGTATAATGTTTAACAGTCTATATATCTATGTTTGTTCCTTTGTGGTACACTAGAGACCAAACGCCTGGACCAATTTTGATGATTCATACATCAATCGATTCGTCTCAATCATGGGAGTGCTACTAAAGTTATATGTTATTAATCAAAATTCATATTAGGGAATTATTATTAGGGAAAATTAGGCGCCATATTGTGACGAAGTAAAAAAACTAAGTTGACAAAATATGTCGAGTAGAAATCATGTTTAGGTTCCTTACACATTTTTTTATTTTATATGATTGTTTAGGATCTACAACGCTTTAAAGTTGTATATTAACCACTTGCGCTTTTAATTTCTTTTATTTATGCTATAGGGGGCATACGAGCAGACGGCTCACCTGATGGTAAGCGATCACCGTCGCCCATGGACACTTGCAACACCAGGAGTATCACAAATGCGATGCCGGCCTTAAAGGAAGGAGTACTCAATGCTTTTTTTTTGAAGGTTTTGAAGGTGTTGTTGAAGGTATTGGTCCGAAAACACTGCTGGCGACAATATAGTCCACAGTTTTGTCGTACGTGGTAAAAAATTTCGACAAAAACGCACGGTTGTGGTACTTATTCTATATACTTACTTCTTCTGTTCTTCTCTTCTGAAAACTCGACAGCGCAGGTAGTTAGCGCGTTCGGGTGTGATCGTTTGAAGATAAGCAACTTTCGAAGTGGTCGGTCATTAGATGGGTGACAAAAAATCTTCTATTTCGAGTTCCTAAGTGATTCGGAAGAGACGTTAAGCCGTTGGTCCCGATTGCATTTGCAGTCGTTAGCACCCGCCAATCCGCACTGGGCCCGCGTGGTAGGTCATGGCCCGATCTCCCTATTCCACCCATAGGGAAGGCCTGTGCCCCAGCAGTGGGGACATTAGTACACTTTTAGATGATCACCCATACAAATTTATGTAACAGGCTTAGTGTACATCTATTAAATAATGCTTATGCAAAGGACAATGTTAAAATTGGCCTAAGAACCAACACCAATTTGGCATTTATAATAATTCTTAGTATATTTTTTGCGATAATTATCAGTATTTAGATTGTCACGGACACTTCCAGTTAAGTAAGCTAAATTAAAAAGTTAAAAAATAATCTGAGACAATAAATACCATTTTATGTGTATAATCTATGACAGCGCTGCAAACAAAACACTATTTCTTCCTAATGCCGGCACTTCACTTGGCTATTTGTATTTGCTATTTTAAAACATGACATCAGTCTGTCCTTTTCATTCCTTGGAAGTTTACCAATTACAGAGCATAATGCAAGTAAGTGGCGCACAATGCCTAATTATGCTGATGCTTAATTGGAACGTGAATTAGTTTTCAAATGCACCTGCAGAGTGCGCTAAGTCAATGTTTGTACCTTCATCCATACTTATATTTATTTTTTTAACACAGTTTGAATTAACGTTGATTATTATAAAAAACTACAATGAAACGAAAATTTTCAACAAAACTTAAAGAATAAACACTTGTTAATTTTCTGTCACTGAGTTGGTAGATTGCACGCATCACACGAAAACATTACTTTTGAGAGTGCTCGATTGTGCGAATCGTTGCTGTAGTTGAAACATTCAACGATAAGCATTATGCCGCATAATTCGCTCTAGTGCTGTAATTGGAAAACTACCCTTATTAAGCATGACAAGGACAAACTGTTGTCAAGTGAAGCGCCGGCATAAAACTCGTTACTCTGTGGTTGTGGTGCAGGCAGTTTGCATTCGTAGTAATCTGTGGCATTCGTGCATTCCAAAAAGAGTAGTTTATTATACCGGAATTCGGAAAGTGTATTCTCGTTTCGGATTACCTGTTGTGTGTGTTTATTTGCGATTGTTTTTCTTTCAATCTAACTATTTTGGCTATCTAATATGCCATCGATGTTACTAAAGAGCAGAGCCCTTAATACCAAGTGCTAGTGAACCTGTGCCACAACATCCTGAGAGGATCTTACTGCTAAATTATTCAAGAGCACCTGATACACATCGACGCTGCGTATTTACACAATTATACAAATACCTACATGTGATATACAAATAAATACAATATACAATATGATAAAATTATGTGGAAAATAGTCAATAACTAAGAAGTTTTTATTTTATTCATGATTCCTACCTAACCAAGTTTTTCCTAATAGTTATTCTTTAAAATAGCACTGAATAAAATGAATTAGTTGTTATATTAATTCACTTCATACTGAGTTCATAGGTACTAATACTAACTTTATAGGTTGACCTATGTTTCATTGAATATTAAATATAACCTCAAATTTTTTTTTGTTTTCCTAATAATTTAAGTTCTCAGAAGTATCCGTCAATAATTCTTGTTTTTATAGTCATTAACTTGCGATTTCGAACCTAGAAACTAATATTTCATGATTGTTGGTTCTTAGGCTAACTATGTATGGACGCAGAACAATGTCCTTTGCAGTCAATAGGTCCAATTGGTAAGATTTTACGAACAAAAGTGTTTTTTTTATTATGATTTAGTGATGATTCACTTTTTGCTTGAGAAATTCGTTAAAAAAGTTTTCCTTTAAAAAGTTTAATTGAAATTGAATGTGGACCGGTAATATTTTACAATAATTAAATAATTTATTGTCGTCACCAGAAAATTGCCTTAATTTAAATACCTGTCTGTGCAGCTGGTACATGTAGATTCGATTGAACCTAGAGCAGAACTCAGTAGAGCGACGGCACATCTTGGGCAACTCCTCGGGATCAATTGCCGTGATGTTGAATTGCTCCAAAGATTCTCTGCAAAAGATAAATTGTGACCTATAGCTGAAGCGTCATACAGACTGGTTTTTCCCAGTGGGCACTTTGGGCAAGTGTCCAGGGCCCCGCGATCGATAGGGGCCCCCTCAGATCAAATACAAAGTCCCTAGTTCCTGCTAAATCACCAAACGGAAGTCATAGGGGCCCCATTACCCTAATATGCCCAGGGCCTCCAATAGGTCAAAGACGGCATTGAGCGTCATTTTGGAACCGGACTGTGCGTATTTCGTTAAATGTGGTTGTATGAGTCTACGAACGAATTGGAAATGATATTGAAGCATTACTCGCTAACAAAGACTACTTAAATATGTTAAAAATCAAATTACTGCAAATTAATTCGGCTATCCATTTATTGGTTAAGATAATGTTGAACGGAAATCCCAGCCAATCCCGTGATTGGCGTGGTGATCATAGTTTTTTCGCCCCGCCCACTTATTCGCAGTTTGTGTGGAACCACTTCTTGGCACAATTCGTATTCCATTTAAAATTTATTGGAATCATTTATAAAACAAATAAATGCAGAATGATATCTAGTCAGCAATAATAAAACAGTTCATTGAGATAAGAGTGAAATTCAGGTTAGTTAAATTTCCACTCGATTGAGGGTTTTAATAGCCGGCGCCAGATGGCAGCACTGAGCAAAAAGGGCCACTCATCCGATAAATCGAAAAAGATTGAAAATAAAAGATTTGATTTAGATGCTAAGCATAATTTGTACCCATTTAAAATGATTGGCGTGTTGATCGCAGTTTTTTCGCCCCGCCCACTTAATCGCAGTTTGCGTGAAACCACTTTTGACGACAGCTTTAACTCTTCAATTAAATTACTAGTTAGGTAAACATTTGCAAGGTTGCACCATTGGTCGATGGTCAAAATGTGTTCATAATTTGACAGTGGTGTCGATTCTGGCGTGATTCTCTAAACTTAAAACTAAAATTAACATCAGTCTCTCCTTTTCATTCTGTATAGAGAATGACAGGGATGCACTGTCAAATTTATTTAGTTTAGAGAATAATGCCAGAATCGACATCATTGACAATTAACTGTCCAAGCAAGGTCAGTTTAAGTTATATAAAACCTTAACTTCAACGAGCTCTGTAGTTAAACTCCATTAAAAGTGACCTCATGGTTTATTTGGAAGTTGTGACGTTTATTTAACGTTTTTATTTGGAAGTTCTGATATTATCATGCTTACAAATGGATACTTACATAATTGACAACATTTCATCGTTGATCTTCGGCCGCAGATCTTTGACTTTGGCGCAATAAATGCTGCTTTCGATCATGTCACTAACGTTTTCTGGTGACTTATTACCTGTAAAGTGTGAAATGATGTTTTTATGGTTAGATAGGCAAACGACTCCACCCTACCTGCTGTTAAGTGGTGGTAGATAAGACGCGGAGATAACTGTAACAGCAGTTATAAACACTTGCGTACAATAATACAATCATTCCAACAGGTTTTCTATATTAAATAAATCATAATTGTATTGACGTTGTAACAACATAATGATTTGTAAATGTTGATACATTAGACTTTTAATGTTGTGGAGTTTTTTCGCTCGTTTTTCTCCGCAGCTAAAAAAATATGTCCATAACGAGTGGTAGGGAAAAAAAATTTGAATAAAGATATATTGATTTCTGATTTCTGAGATTATTCGATTCGATTTATATTCAAATATTATTATCACTATTGGAAACTTACCATCCCTTTCGTCGGGGCTCCGTGGTAGCGGCGGCGGCGGCGAGTTCGGTTCCGGCGAGCTTTGCTTCTCTCGCACCGTCGAGGGGCTCGAAGAATCGTTCACGGCCTCTTCCTCCGCGCCTGACCAAACAATATTGTGCGATTCAAACTTTTTATCAATATTAAAAGGGTGGCAAATATGCATAAGCATATCTAGCGGATAATATATAAAACATCATCAACACAAAGCAGTACTAACGAATACTTTGATACCTTAACTTGGACTATCCATTTACATTTCATATTAAACACAAAGTTTTGTATGTATATGTTTATATTTATAAATTTAAAATATATGTGTATTTGTTTTTGTATGTATATGTATATATTAATAAATTACATTGAAATTAACGCCGCCGTCTCTTCCACTTCCTTCTAATCCTCTCCATCCAAAGGTTGACTGGAAGAGATCACTTTTAGCGATAAGGCCGCCCATTGTAACACTTGATTTAAATGGCTCTGTATTTATTGTAATGTTTTCTGTGGTGTGCAATAAAGTGTTTTGTATTGTATTGTATTGCATATAGCCTAGGCATGGGTCCGATATATCAAAACGAATCCAAAATCCGATTTCAGAAATCTAACCGAACCAAAACGCTAGATACCACCACAAGTATCCAAATGTAAATCGGATTCGAAATTCGTGCTTTCGTTTTCGGAAGTCCGATTTCGGTTTGCTGTTTACGGAAATCTATTGTTCTTCTCTAAGGCGGGATTATTTATTACTGAAAAAGATGTCGTCTAAAAACATCAAAAGTCGAGCAACTGACATTTTTTTGAACGCTAACCTGAAGTAATTAGGTTTGATTTTGTAAATGGTTTGAAAAATAATAAAAACAAACAGAAAAACAAAAAAAATACTAAAAAAATATGTAAAAAGAAATCTTTGTATATAAGCCGATTTTTAAATGCGCCGCAAAAGTTTTACTTTTAACCGTAAAGATAACTTTTCTGCTAGTTCTAAGCCACAGAATATATACTCTTGCCTAAGCCTAGATTTAAAGCATAAAGGAAAATCGCGCAAATCTACGAGTATCCTTGCTACGTACAATTAATTGTTTGTGATTGTCGTTAGCTAATAAAACCAAATCATAACACAAACTAGTGAATTGGCTAAGTTCGGCACATCTGAAATCGGATATCTAAAAACGGATTTTAAAATCGATTTTGAAATCGGAAATCCGATAAATATCCGTTTGCGTTCAAAACCAAAAACGCCCATGTCTAATATAGCCCGCCTAATGGTAAGCCAGGTTAGCCTATAGACGCTGGCGATACAAAAAAAATTAACCCTGACCCCGTACCTTACCCCGTTGAGCCCTGGAACCTTACTCAACGATAGAATCACAACCTCACCAAAAGACAGTGTTATTTTGCTGTGACCATGTGGCTGTGAAGTTAGCGCGAGTCGCGGCGCAGTAAATGAAATGTGGGCTGATGTAGGCGCGCGGGATGGCACTGAACTGAAAACTGTGCATACAATGTTGTGAGACCAAGATATATTGGCGCGTGAACCGAACTAAGAACTAATTCAAAGAAGATATAAATAAATAAGCATTTTAATAAATAAGCAGCTTAAGGCTAGGAAAAATTTCGACGCGGCGAATAGGGCCGTGGTAGCATAATGGTCAGTGCATTCGTCCGGATTGCGAAGGGTGCGGGTTCGAGTCCCGTCCGCTGCCTGGTCCGCGTGGATTTTTTTCTAGTAAACTTTTCTTTAGATTTAAACATCTAGCAGTTAAATGTTTAAAAATAAATAAAAACATAAATAAGCATTTTATTTCAAGAGGAAGGTGTGAATAAGCCTTTTACATTTCCGATGACTCTTTCCGATTTATTATAAATTAAAACGATCCCTTTGGTGCGGAGATTTTAAGTTCTCAATGTAATAATAGTGCACTTTGGTCGCACTGTAGTTGCGCTCGCTGCTAACTTCACAACCGTCATAAAGTTTGAATCATTCAATCATGGTGAACTTAATTTTTACCGCGATAATATATAACTTATATTATTAAAGGATAACGTAGCATTATAATGTATTATATGAAAATGTAATATCTATCGCGTATGAATCCGCTGCTAGAGGGGCTTCCGCTTGTGTAGCGTAAGGTCTCTGAAACGTCAAATGTTATTGCTTGTGGGTTGACTACGCGGGTTTATTTCTAGTCAAAATAATGTTTTAATCTAAAGAAAAGTTTGATTTAAACATTTAGCAGTTTAATACTTAAAAAAATAAATAAAAACATAAAATATTGTTGTAAATATTTGGTAATAACTCAGATTAATCATGGCAAAAATGAGTTTCGTATCAATGAATATCAGTTATTGAAACGCGGAGCTGAGTAAAATTATTATGTCCTTCTTTTTTTCCGGAAGAAACGGAACTGCGCAACACTGTGGCATGGCTGATTATGTTTCCGGTACGGCTCTTTTGTATTAAAATATAATAAAACTTTGATTTCGTATTAACAAACTTCAAAAGCTACACTTCAGGACGTCATTCAACAGTGGCACCATCTGGTGAGACAAAAAAGGAAGCCCTCTGATTGTGAAATAATTTTTAAAAATCAGTGAAGGAGCTATCAAGAAGTTAACAAAATTTTGTCATAACGTTTTTTTCGATGACAAGAAAAAATTTTTTTTCTGCCTAGCACACTAGCGCACTCTTGACGACCTTCGTGGCCGAGTGGTTCGTACGCCGAGTTTCATGGTGTCGCCGACTCGAGAGGTCCCGGGTTCGAATCCCGGTGGGGGCGGATGTTTGTGTGATGAATACGAGCATTAGTACTCCAGTCATGGATGATTGATATGTATTTCTATTAAAATATACTTATATATGTACAGTATATGTATTATCTCCGTTACCCTAGTATCCCATAACACAAGCCTTATAGTGCTTACTTTGGGGCTAGGCCACGGAGCACCCCCACTAGAGTCCGCATACAAGGGCAAGCGCTTACGCCAAGCTTAAGTAGTATTTTACCTATGCGTGAGGCACGCCCACAGACGTCGCGATACATCGTTTCATTCGGTAACCGAGCGTTGGTCGAACTGCTTCTCTCGTTTTCGTGTTAAAAAACTGTAAAAAATGCCGTACTGTGCAATTAAATTGTGTGGAAAGTCGAGTACAACTTCCAGTCTTCAAAAAAATGGTATTACTTTTCACTGGTTAGTTTAAATGCATTACAAAAAGACAAAAATACTGTTATATTAAATTGCTGTTAATTGTATTTATTTTTTGGTGAACGCGTTGATGTCTTTTTACACTATCCCTTTCTCGCATGGGCTACATCATATATGCTATCTCGCTCTCACACCGGCACGTGTATTGCTAGTGACTCGGACGCAGCTCATGTCTCAACGCGTAAGTTTATCGATAAGTTTGTCGGCTATGGAAATGAAAAAATAAATAAAAACTATTTATTTCATCGTATACAATAATAGATGTCATAAGTATACAACCAACAGTCTTTATTTGACTTCAAACATATCCTAATAAAATTGAAAAAACGCGAAAATTTGTATGCATATTTGTTACTCTTTCACGCTAAAACCGTTAAACGGATTTGTATGAAATTAAGTGCGCATAGTTTATGACCTAGATAAAGACATGAATTAACGATATTAAATACCCTAGATACACCACGAGCGCTCAAAATGTGTCCCAATCAAGAAGTGCTTGAACTCCACTCAAGCACTTCTTAGTACACAGTCACACGCGGACCGTTGAAAAGTCAAGATGCCAAAGAGTTCCGTGAAAAAATGCAGAAAAATAATAATAGTACGTAAAGTGTCGTTTTTTCGAAGGGTATCTAATTAATGTTTTTTAATTAACGCCTTTAAAGCAAATTTTATTGTTGTAATACTTACTATAAACTGATTTAATTTAAAATATTTGTGATATTCAAATGCATGGTCGGTTATACGTCGCCCTTAGCCATCTCTTTTCTTCGCGTTCTGTACCTGCTATATTGCTAACAGCGCATTCAGAATTGCGCGTGAAAAGTCAAAAAAAAATAAGGTCTATATTCTTTCACATATAAAAATAAATCGTAAAATTTTACGAACTTGACGCATGCATTTTAATTAAGACCTTATGCCGTATGCATTAAAGGTGACTTTCAATGTTTAAATAAGGCATTATATTGTTTTTGACCACGCGATCATCTTACGGACCTCCGTGGTCGTCCAATGTACCTTTTGGACACGTTTCGGCCACGATTTTGTTCGTGTTGTTGTATCTAGGGTAGTTAATATCGTTGCATTAATACTTCTTGTCCTGGATGTGTTTTTGTTGCTTATATATAATTTAGTATGTAGTTGCTAGTCGCGTCATGTAATTAGAACGCTGGAAGAAAGTGGAGAGGGTATGATTACGCATTTGCGCACCAAAGTACTAGGCCTCTATTCTAAATTGTTTATCGATAGAAAATATCGATATTTTCTAAAATCGATCTTACCCTCATCACTTCGCTGCACTGAGTATATGATCTGACCTTGACGCGTCCAATCACAGCGGGGCTGACCTCCCTGCACCCCACCGACTTTGGCGATTTTGATTCCAAACAAAATTTGTGTGATGCGGACTCTAGTGGGGGTGCTCCATGGGCTAGGCTAATTGGTGTGAGTGTTAAAAATATTTATTTATTTAGAGTGGTTGTGGTCATGTCTCTGTCGATTACTGTGCCACTGATGCAATCGCGATGCGTCGCCATGCAACTCGATGTTTTGCGGAGCGACAGCAATAATTTACGCTGGAGTGCGTCGCTGATTTAATAAGGTCTGTCCACCGTATCGGAGAGCGCCCGTGACACCTTTTGCCCGCAACATTCCCTGGACAGTATTTTCGCCAGCGAGAGTAGCACTGCCTCCTTATATTCAAGATGCTCCGAACAAACTGGCTTTTAAGGCACTTTGCAGACGACGGGGCGGGGCGGGCCGGTCAATTTCGCCGCGAATAATAGCACAAAGTGAATCCTGTACTTCAAAAGCACACAGAGGGCAAAAAGACCGCGCCGCAGGTGCCCGGCGGGCAGTGGCGGCGCGGCATGTCCGCGGCTGCCCGCCGTGGATCAAACAAA